TGTGGGTGTGGGTGTGGGTGTGGGTGTGGGTGTGGATGTGGATGTGGATGTGGGTGTAAGGTGGTGCGGGTGTAGGTGTGGATGTGCATGTGGATGTGAATGCAAGTGGGTGCGAGTGTGGGTGTGGATGTGGATGTGGATGTGAGTGTGGCTGGGTATGGAGTGTGGATGCGGGTGTAGGTGTGGGTGTGGGTGTGGATGTGGATGCAAGCGGGTGCGGGTGTGGGTGTGGATGTGGATGTGGATGTGGATGTGGACGTGGGTGTGGCTGGGTATGGCGTATGGGTGCGGGTGCGGGTGTGATTGAAGATAAGGCTCACACCCACACCCACACCGACATCTATCTAATTCGTTATTGCTTTTTCGCCCATCTTCCTGAGGGTTTCACGCGCTTTCTGTCGAATAAATGAATCTTCATCTTGAAGCGCATTCACCAGAGCAGCCATCACCTCATTCGTTGCTGCTTTTACACCCATATCACCTAGTATTTTGCTGGCTTCCCAGCGGACATTCGGATGGGATATGGCTGTGGGTGTAGGTGCGTGTATCGAAAAAAGGAACAGGTGTGGCCACATTCACACCGACATCTACATCCACACACCCACAGTCCTAGATTGAAGAGTCTTAGCCTCGGGACTGAGCTTGTAACATATCTAGTTGTGACGTGCATGATCACCTTTTTTTTCGCGAGCCATTCAGAAATGACTTGCGGATATACCACAGTACCATTGCCCAAGTGATGGTGCAATTCGAAAACAGCCCCTGTGAACTCGCGAGCATCTGAAAAATTCATAGAATGAGTAAGCTTATGCAAAGTTTAAAGGACGCACAACATTGTATTAGATTCTTCTGCACACTAAAATATAATGTGTCGTAATTTAGAACACATTTTTGTGTGAGAGTCCGCGACACATTATATTTTAATGTGTAATACCAACCGATCGAAAACAATCTTTTACTCGTTCTGTCACGTGGTAAGAAGAGGAGAACGCATCCATATTCTGAAACCAACAAGTAATTGCGAAACACTGATGAAATATAATGACGCATGACTAACAAACCTATATATATTTATCAAAAAGAGAGCACACCATAGACCAAATGAATACTGAGATGACACATATCAGCCTACCATCACATCTGTTCAAATCGCTTCACCTGCTCAGGCCAGAAAGTTATAACGTCTATCTGATCGGATCTCGCCTATGGGGAACAAACACTGTCACAAGTGATTGGGATCTTCTGGTTGTGGGCGACGTGCCGTCAGGACAGCTGACTAGCCTTCACAAGGCTCAATATGACATTACATTGCTTGATCGACAAGAGTTCATAATGCGAGTGAAACAAGGCTCTATTATAGAGGTTGTCTGTGCTTTGATGCACAAAGAAGACATGCTGCAGTGTGCTTTTGACACTTGTGATCTGCTAGTGGATCCAGACGCTATAAAGACGTGGCTGGAAGTACGACAAGCCAAGGATTTAGAGAAGGCAGAGAAATTCTGGGTCAAAGGAAATCGACAATCAGGCTGGAAGATTCTCAGGCACATTCTACACGCGAAAACCCTCTACAATTACCTCGTTGTCGCTCTTCGCGAGAAACGAGTCACTCTCACCATCGACGATGTACAGACTATTGTACGCTCAGCGACATTACTATGTGACAAGACCTGGATGCAGCTAGACTGGTCGAACGTGTACACTGCTGTGAAAGATGTATTGACGCGTTTATAGCATGATTTGATGTTTTTAATTGTTTTTAATAAACCATAATATGAGAGCGAAAATATATAGAAAATTCATGTTTTATTTTGCAAGCTTTCGTTACTTTACTAGTCACATGATCAGGTAAATCAGAAATTTCTAGAGTTAGAACAACATTTCGACTATTATATAATCAACGATGAGTCATATTTCATTGAATGTTCGTCGTGATGTGGATGTGGCTAGGGTGTTGGTATGGGTATGGATCTGGATGAAGAGAAGACGCAAACCCACATCGGCACTCTCTTTAATTAGATTTATTAAAAAGTAAACATTCATAAGATATATATAATCATAATGTCTTAGCTCGCCAATTTGCAAAAATTTATCTTTAGCATCGTTATTTTACGTTTTCAATACAAATTCTATGTATATATACTATAATATTAATCGTTATTTATAATCTTACATGTTTATTAACATTCTATAGTATGCATGCAATAAAATCTCAACTTGATTGTATATATTCTTAAATTCTTTATCAATTCAAGTGGAATATTGAATGAAGTACAACATTTATTAATGATGTTTTTCTTTGTTTAATACTTTCAGTAATTATTTATTGCACACAAATATTTACTAGTTTAATTAAAATTCGACAACATTTAATATCAGTATATGCTGGAAAATATAATGGTATACCACCAAGACATAATTTTTCAAATAATGAAATAATATCAAAATGTTCACTTTTTTCTGGTTATTTATGTGGTTACGCTAAGGGGGAAACAGCGTACTTGAAGTAGAAAAGTATGCTAAAGTACGGCAAAGTAGGCTACTTGAAGTGGTTTAAAGTACCGCTCAAGTAGCTCAAAGTAGGAACAAGTAGCTTAAAGTAACTTCAAGTAACTTCAAGTGAATTTGAAGTTAAAAAGTACTTCAAAGTAAGCTACTTCAAGTAGCTGAAAGTAACTTGAAGTAGCTTAAAGTAGCTCAAAGTAACTTCAAGTCCAAAAGTTCGCTGTTTCCCGCTTGGGTTATGCAGCATGGAATGTTATTATATTTAATAGACTATCATTTTTAATTTGTTTTCTATTTCGTTAATGGATACATTATGATTTTCGATGGTTTCAACGTATATGAGCAATATGTTTATCGATAAGTCGAGTTTATTTTATATTTAATTATTTTATTTTATTTTTCAATTGTTTCTTGGTATATTATCATGTTTTATACGTTTAGCAGGATCAGT